CCTACCATGCATAGGGTACGCTCGTTCCTCTGGTTGCTAAATCACAAACGCCTCCTGACCAATCCCGAAAGAGCTCGACGCCATCTAACAGCGAACGTCGACTGCAAGATTTGCGGCGGGGGCCCGGAGACAGCAATTCACATCGTGCGAGATTGTCCCTTCGCGAGAGCCACTTGGGCGGGGATCCTTGAAGATGAACCTGATGCCAATTTTTTTGAACACGAACTTCACAGGTGGTCATTGCATTATTTATCTGACCGTAGTAACGTCATCGACAATACTCTTTTTGCACGTACGTGCTGGCTGCTGTGGAAGAACCGGAATGATCACCTGTTCCGGAGTGAGTTGAAAACCCATGAGCAGCTCCAGTTTACAACAAAACAACTAAGGTCTCAGATCACCAAGGCCTTCGAGAAGGAGAGCAACGTGTTCGGAGCCGGGGGACTCTGCGAGAGGCGGGAAATCAACTGGAAGCCACCGCCGAGTGGTTGGGCCTGTGTTAACACCGATGGCTCAACTACTCTCTCTCCTGCGAGCACGAGCTGTGGCGGCGTCGTGAGGGGAGACGATGGCCGCTTTATAAAAGCATTCACAGCGAACCTAGGAGGGGGTTCGATCACTCGTGCTGAGCTGGCTGGGATTGCTTATGGGTTGAGATTCGCTTGGGAAGAGGGAATCAGGAAGGTTGTTCTACAGACAGACTCTTGCACTGCCCGGACGTTGATCGAGAAAACGACTCCGCAGCATCCTCATTACTCATGCGTCGCAGAGATCCGCCAATGGCTAGCTCGGCCTTGGCTTGTCAGGATAGAGCATGTTTTCAGAGAAGCGAATTTCGTGGCTGACCACCTCGCTTCCATTGGCCATTCTGTTCCTATAGGGGTTCATGAGATTCACAACCCGAGTAGCACTTTTCTATATTGGTTGTACTTTGATACTCTGGGGATTCAAACGCCCCGTTTTGTCAGTTCTTAATACAGGCTAGGGCGCCCTTTGCGCCATGTTTCTCACCCCAAAAAAAAAAGAGCAAGGTGGTGGATTTTCGATTCCTTGGCAGAGCTATCAAATCTTTCATCATATGTGTAGAAAAAATTTACGTTCTTTGTGACTTTGATACAATTAACAAATAATAATATTTGCATCTCAATGTCAAATGACCATTACACAATATAGTAACCAATGATAGATGACGATAACTTTCCAAAATCCTAAAACACATCTCTATGTTAAACTTGCAGATCAGTTACATATGGAAACAGAAAGGCAAACTCTGAAACGTGTCTGTCTAGGGATGGCAATTTAGACCTGACCCGATTTACCCGACCTGTTTGACCTGTTTTGGGGCGGGTCTGACCTGCCATGTATAACGGGGCGGAAATGAGTATCTCTCATCGACCCGACCTGCCCTAACCCGTCCCATTCTCGACCCGTTCTGGCCTAAGTTACATGTAATTTAGTCAAATTACTTAGGATTTTCCCCTTATTACATCATATTTTAGGTATAATAAAGTTGTAAATAAGTGAAAAACTCAATTTCTCCAATAATTTAACTACATTTTTATCAAATTATGGTTTATTTTTTGGTTTTTTAATTAAAATAATGAATAATTCTAATGCTTTTTGCATAAATTATATACCCAATGGGTCGACCTGCCCCGACCCGCGCCCCATGATAAATTATCCGACCCGGACCCGACCTGCCACGGAACGGGTATGGGTATCGAGATACCCGCCCCGGACCTGCCCATTGTCATTCATGTGTCTGTCATGCAAATCCTAAAACACATCTCTATGACTAAATGGGATACAGAAGACCATAAAATTACAGAAGTACCATATGAACTATAGAATCCCTTCAACCTCGAGCTTGTTATAAATAAGAGAATTGAGGAAGTAGCAGAATTGTATAAAAGCGTTATAACTTTTTGTGATGGAAACTAGCTGTGTGGTTTCGGAAAATTGTGCATATGTGTAATCTTTGGTTACAGTACTTGGTTGCTCAAGGAGATGTGCTTCAACATTAGGGAACTGTTACGACAAATGCTTGAACGATTGTCGCGATGCCATAGGCGTTTTGTATTGTCAGAGGATTTGTAAAAAAAATAAATACGGAGGAACAATCAATATGACGAATCCCAACAAATACGAGGTGCAAAATACACACGAATAACCAAAACTGCTAGGCGACGTGATGATCAATAGATCATGAATTTTGTGTATGAATAACCAAATATGGGCAGTCCGTATTTTTCTATTTTGATTTTGAGTTGCTAAACGTCTTGCCTAACAAGTGGTTAACAAATTCCATCTCTCTTTCACCGACTTATTCTCCACTATTCTCCACTACTCCACCTGCTAAGACCGCTATAGCAGATCTTCACTGTCATGTCCTGGTGTCTAGCTTACTCTGTAACTAATGTTCTTTTCTGTGGTGACGATGAACAGGTGATCATCAGAATGGACAATGCAAACGATACGTCTCACCCTATGAGAGGTGTCATTTTGAAGGAGATTCATGTGTTGTGATCATCTCTCTAACGTGTCTAGTTTTATTTCGCGTCTTGTAGGTAGGGGTGGGCAACCGGCGGGTTGGGTGGGTTTTGGTCTCAAATTGACCCACCCACTTACTAGCGGGTTGGAATAATTTTGACCCGCAATCCACCCACATACTTCTGTGAGTTGGGTTGGGTGGGTGGCGATTGGGTTGCGGGTCAACCTGCAAAACAATTCTCCAACTAGCTATTAAGAAAGTTGACTAACATTTATAATAAGTTCATAGAAAATTAGTAAGATTTTATCAATAATTTGTGATTTTGATACAATAATAATTTATAGTTTGCATCACAATATTTAATGGTTATTAACAATAATTTGTATACCAATATCCAATGAATATTGCACAACACAATGACCAATAATAGTAGTCAAAACTATTATTTACTCTCCACCTTTTGAAGTGTATGGTCAGACTGTAGTGGAGTTCGAAAATATGATGAATATTCGATACCAAAAGAAATAACATTTTTCATGTAAAAATATGATGCGGGTCATATGGGTGACCCGCAACCCACCCACCACCCACCCACATAAGTGCAGATGAGAATTTTACCAATCCGCAATCCACCCACATCAATCACCCACTGCGTGTGGGTCGGATTATTTGTGGGTGGATCGATATCAATTCGCGGATTAACCACCCACGTGCCCACTCTTACTTGTAGGTACAATAGGATTGTCCATATCGTGGCCAAGTGCTCGTTCAGCGACTTGTTACCACGTATTATTCTTTCTTTTGAACTTTAACCTCGTGGAGATTTGTATCTTTTTTTTTTATATATAAAGTGGAGATTTGTATCTTATTATTCTGAAATCCTACCCGGAATATCTTTGAAAAATAAAAGGCAAAATACACTTGTATAGCCAAAAACATGCACTTTGTGACAATAATAGCCAAATTTTGAAAAATACACAAATATAGTCATGTTTTTAAAACATTGTTGTCAAATTTAACCATTTTCGTTACAAATTTTGACGGCGTTAAAGATGTCGTCAGTAATGTGGATGTGGCGCTGACATGGACTCGCCCTAATTGACATGTCATCAACAACATGTTGAGATGGATGCCACCTCACCATCCACATCAACTCTCAATTGCCATGTCAGATTAAATTTTTATTGATTTTAGAGATTATTTATAAAACATAATTAATAGCTTTTTATTAATTATGAAACAAAAATCCAATTATACTTTGTCTTCAGTTGCTTGCCGCCGCTGCTTGACAATGTGCCGCTGCTTATCGGTGGTGCCGCTGCCGCCCTCTTCGTTACTAGCAGGCCATCGCGACCCACCGGAACAACGCGATGAATCATTGGCCCATAGAGCCTCTTCTCATTACTTTGAATCTCGATTCTCCCCTCTTTTTTCATGAAATCGGATAAACAAACACCACCAACACTAGATGCTGGTCCCTGCGCGACTGGGTCTCCGCGGCCAACTCCTCACGTCGGATCGTGCATCTTCCCCGACACAATAGACAACGATGAACTGAGGAAGAAATAGGTTCCGTAATTAAGGAAATCGAGACAAAAGGGACTGGGTTTGAGAAGGCTTCGTCGGGAGATGCTTTGTCTCCTCGGGCTATTACAACTTTCCAGATCTCGTAACACCAGAGATCAGAACTCTGCCTGCTTCAATGGCGGTTCCCAAAATTGATTTCGATTCAGAGCTTAGAGTTCTCCCTCTTTCTCGCCTCGCCATACCAAAGCCACAAAACCCACAAGAATCCATTCCATAGAAATTTGATTCCGACCTAGAAACCTCACTATTTCTCCCTTCTCCCTCTCGTACTCTTCTTCCTCTCTCCACCTCCCACTACCCAGTCGTAACGGCGGCTAAAGACGAAGGAAATTCAATTGACGAACTCAGGTCGTTCTCCCCATGGTCGGGATTTGAAATCAGTAGCGACGGAGCCCAGGAAGTTTCGATCCCGCTGGCCGCTGCTACCTGTGCGAAGGAAACCCAATCGTTGGCAGCGATTCTTCTTCAACCTCTATTGGGGAGCAAGGAAGCAATGCTATTCTTCTTCAATTACTCTGCTCCATCTACTCATCCTTGCTCTCTTCGACGACTCTACTTAGGAGAAGGAAATTGAAGACGGAAAGGGAAGGAAGTCGGAGACGATGAGCAATGGAAGAGGAAAATACAACTTTCCATGTTTTGTTTTTTTTGTTTTTCCATTAATTATAATAATATTAAAAGTTCTAATTCCATCTGTCATTGGGTTTGACAAAAAAAAGTGCCACGTCATCAAACAGTATCAGTCCAGTCACATCTGTAACGTTGCTGTTAAACTTTTGGACAGAATGACTATATCTGTATATTTTTCAAAATTTGGCTATGTTTGTCACAAAGTGGATAATTATGGCTACGGAGATGTATTAAGCCAAAATAAAACCTTGGATAAATAGATATGGCGGGAAACTAAGAAGCTGGAATAACCAAGGGCTGGAGGCTGAGTCATGGCGGTGTAAAACTCCACGCTCTCCTCCGTTTCTTCTCTTTATGCACACAATGCCTAACCGGCGTATTTGTTGCTTTGGAAATCGCTCAAAATTTCGACCTTGAAGTAAGTTCTCTTCCGCCTCATTCTCGTTTCGCCTCCAAATCCCTATCTTCTTAATGGCTCCTCTTCACGACATTTGTTCGCTTTTCAGATTTCTCAGCGACCGCAGGCAGAGCAGTGTCACATCTTCAGCTCGAATGTCTACTTCTTTATTCCCAATGTCGGAGTAAGAGCCATTGGCAATCTCGCTATTCCAATTTCATGGATCTTCGTCCTTCCGTTAACGCTCATACTTACGTTGCTTCCTTTGTCGTTGCAGATACGAAATTGCTCGCCATAGAAGGATCTGCGCTAGGGATCTTACGCCACGGCGGACTCGCATGCATAGATCAAGGTCAGTGATCACTCGACTGAATGTAGGGGTTAAGATCGCGATTCGCTGGTCAGTGTACTGTGTGAATCCAGATGCCAATTTCTTTTTGCCATTTTTTTACTTGTACTGCTTGTGTGATAGTTTTGATTGCTCAGTGTGCTGAGTTCTCCGTTGATGGATATCCGTAAGGAGTACCAACATGGGTTGGTTTTAGTTTTGATCGAAATAGATTATCTCTGGAGATCCATATGCTAAACTAATTGCTTTGGATATGGCTGTGACCTCAATGTTGTAGCTTACTTCTGAATTGCGAATACCAGCGGTTGTTTTCTTGCTGCAAGAAGTAGTGCTTTGGTGTTGATTCTTCATTGTAGTTCCATTACGAGCTATTGCTGTGGGCTGACTCTCTTTAGTGTAAATGTATTGTCATGGAGGTTTGAAGGATGCTTGTAGTTTAGCTTTTGACGTCTAGCTTGTTAGGGTTTGCCGACAAGCAATATCACTACTAGATGTCTTAGACTGGATGAGAAATTGAGAACAATGCAGTCAAAAGCGAGTTTCTACGTAGAAACGTTTTGGTGATCTAGAAGCGTAAAATCGTAAGTTTTTAAGTTTCAAAGCGGAGCTTTTAACTACATAAGTTATAAAAACTAAGATTTTTTGTAGAAGCGTTTTAGTGACCTAAAAACGTAAAATCGTAAGTTTTTAAGTTTTAAATCGCGATTTTGACTACATTGATTGAGAATAAGTCCTTCCACAATACTTTGGAGATTAAAGACAGATCATAGGGCTCCTTTGTTTCTGCTGTTCTGCTTTCTTTTTCCACACCTTGTATCCCTGAAGGATATAATCTTTGAAGCACGTAGTGATCATTGTCAAACAGTAAAGTAAACCAATTTATTCCTTCTTCACCAGCAATTCTAAAGCCATATAGCTTGCTCTTTCTATAGCAGACATAGGTCAGGACAACCAAGTAATACTGGTTTGGCGAAGCTGTCTGTAACCAAATTCTTTTGAGATGATTGTACCCAGATAATGGTTAACCTTATCCTACCAAATCACCACTTGGTCAATCTATTGGGTTAGTTTGCAATCAAATTTTGATTTCACTGTTAGAAGATATTAAACCTTTTGCTTGGACCTTAGTCTTTAGAGTCATTTGTGTGTTTTTCTTTCGGTCATTGAAGGGGACTGGAGAGGTATTCTGTTGGCTCTGAGTGGCTTTCATGGCCCAGTTTAGTGAGAGTATGCTTGCTGAATCATGCATGATGAAATGAAATTTAGTAGTGTTCAATTTCTTCAATTATTATAATTGTTTCATGTATGGCTTTTTCTATTGAGCTATGATGATTAACTTTGCCAAAAAAATATAATAGAGGGCTCAGCCAGGCACTAAGCTAATTAGTATTTCAAGAGCATATTATTAGGCATCTTACAAGTAAAGTAGAGACCTTTAATATTAGGCCAAGGATCAAACACATGTGGGCTAGTCCTTGAAAGTCGAGCAATGGTGCACTTCTCATTCATCCTCTATCAGCATTCCATTTTGATATTTTTTAATATAGTCCCGGATCCTTTCAACTAACTAAAAGATAACTTTACTAAATTTCTCACGTTTACAGACTGCCTACTCAAGTCCATCATGACTTGTTTCCTTAATAATCTTAATTAACTTCTTACGAACCTTTGCATGAACTCTTGTGATCAGACTTCTCCACTTACTGCACACAAGCATAATGTTGTTTAGTGTCTTATAGGCTGGAAACTACAGTTTGGAAGATTAATGCGAAGGTTATAGATGGTTGACATAGTTATTCATGAACTATTAGGATGATGTGTTTGAGAGGGCAAAGTATCAGTTAATCCATATTGTGCTTGTGCTTATCTGCTTACTGTGTTTCTGTTCCTTACAACTGTGCACTTATATTCTTTGAATACGAAGAAGTATCATGCAAAAACTAGGTTGATTGAAACTTATTGATAGTACTATAAGTCTTCTATTACACATTCTTGAACATAAAGCACTCTCCCCAAGGGAGATGTGGCATGCCTATCTCTCTTCCTACTTCCGAGGATTGAACATAATACTAAAAAGACACAAGGACTTAGCTTTATGCATATAGAGGAAAACCCCATGCTGTACAGGTTAGAGCTTCCTCACAGACACATCACAGCAGTATGAACAAAAATCTGAATAAAGAATTTCCTTTATACTAGCCAGTTAAAAACAGAGTTCCGTAGTCATAGGGAAGAAACATTTTACTCTCCTCTTCATCATCCAGCTTCCAGAGTGTGTCAGTAGTGCAGTAGTCCCAGTTTGGAGAGACCATAGGAGGCGGGCCAGAGAAATTGCAGCCTTCTTCAGTTAAGCCTTCAGAAACTACTGGTTCAAATATTGTGTCCTCTATGTCTTTCCATATGTCATCCATCGAGTATCCTTTGTCGCCTACATGCAATAGATGGTTAGTTTTGCCAGTTGTAGCCACTGCCGCTGCCACTTGATTCCCTCCGGTGTCGTAGAAGCTAGGCTGCTCTTCTCCAGCCTCCGGGAAAGGTGACGAGTTCACAGTAGTAGTGTGGGAAGAAGAGGAATGATTGGATGATGATGATGACGGGGAAGACATGGTAGCAGCCCTTTTCCTCTCCTGAGCCTTCTTCCTCATATGAGTCCTCCAGTAGTTCTTGATCTCGTTATCAGTTCGCCCTGGTAATTTGCGAGCAATTCTTGACCATCTTCATAAGATAAGATTGGTTTCAGTTTAGATTTGTGAAAGCTCTAAACCTATCAAAAAAGATCATAATTGATTAGTTGCTCTATGAATCATTGAATTGCCATACCTGTTTCCCCATTTGGCATGAAGCTCCACCACAAGTTTTTCTTCTTGAGGGGTCATCTTTCCCCTCTTGAGTCCAGGATGCAGATAGTTAACCCATCGCAACCTGCAACTCTTTCCTGTTCTGTTCAAACCTACAACCAATTTATAAAAGCCAGGTCGTTAACGGTAGGTCATTTACGAGGCCAACCATCCCCAGATTATCGTACCTATTACGCGTCTCCCGCCACCTTCAAACCTGAAACTTTAGCAATAAAATCCCATCGTCGATCCCCAAACAAGTGCACAAAGTTGATCAGGAGGATGTCCTCCTGTTCTGTCCAAGGACCCTTTCTGGTTTCGTCTTGAATCATCTTCTTTCCTTCCTTTCCTTTTCCCTCTCTTCTCTGTTTCTTTCCTACTCTGTCTCTCTGCAACTTTTTCTTACTCTTAGCTGATGCTTGGCACTTTAGGGGCACGCTGGGGGGAACATTTATATATGCGTATTTCTGGGTAGTGGACAAACTCTGCCAATTATCTCTTTCCAAATAAAATAACTACATAATATGTCCATATTTTGATATTGAATCCACACCGCACAATTGCAGTGCGCGTGCACTTCATGTGATAGGGTAGCTAATGCTTGTGACGCCAGCCACTATAATGTGAAATAACCGAAGTAATAAGCTGAGATGTGGAAATAACTTCCACGATCAGCTAGCTCATCTTGCTTTGTATCAGTTCCTCTTGCTCCTCGAAGATTTGAAGATCTGTGCAAGTTCTTTCTAGCCTGCTTGGTTTGAAATGAAACTTGGTTTTCTGCTGTCTTGACCGCCTTGGCAAATTTTCGCCTGGCATTCCACTATGACAGAACTCCTTCGAACCTCGGATTGGATCATCGTTCCTTTGTTAACGCAACAAAACAACAGGTTTGCCAATCAGGTGACCATGGATGATACATGGTTTTTCTTTCTTAAAATATATTTACATTCTTGATGTTAGTTTGGTGTTGCTTTTGAACTTTTTTACTTTTGATTGTTACACTACTGATTATGTTGAGTGAATGTTTTTGCCCCCTTTCTGAAAAAGAACTGTCTTGTTGGTAACAAATGAAACCTGATGTATGCCTAAGGTGTCAACCGAGTGTGAGGCTAAGAGGAAAATTTACTAGAACAAGGATTGGCGCATTGACATGATTGGATAATAGGGAATAAGAGCTTATGGAAGTTCCTAGACTTCCTTTCTGCCCGCCCAATTTGAGGGAATGATAGGAGTATTCCTTGTGAATGCCATATAAAAATACATGTCCAGTAAAAGGAAAAAGAAAGAAGAGGACAAATTTTGTAAAAGCAGGGAATAGAGATAGAACAGGAACTGTTCAAGTGTCATCTTAGTGGCCGCCTCCTAAAATAAAAATTGATTATGGAGTAAGATATTATTTCCTGGATATAATTCTTTTTGCCAGGCATACTTAATGAGGCCCGACAGTTGTTTCTAAACAAAGTAGTGGTTCATTGATGCTTGGTCATTGGGTCTTCTGGGCCGCCCCAGGCTTCTGCAAGTTGCTTGAGGCTTTTGGATTCAATTTACCATTCTCATTTTCTTTGGTTCTGTTCTCTTTTTCCTCATCTTAATCTCCTCTTTCCTGCATCTTAAATAGACTGATATCTGAAAACAAAGATACTCAAATTAATGACGATATATGGGAGGAGATAGGGCTCATCTAATCATTCCAACTCTAATGGTGACAGATGAATGAAATGCCAGTGCATAAGAAGGATTCTATTCAAAGAATGTATTAAAGGAATCTTCTAATAATGCAAGAGAGAGATTATGGAGAGATCGTTTTCTTTCTCCTCTTTAACACAGAAATATCCCTTCTATTCAAGGCCAAGGAGCAACATGTATATGTAGAAAGGTACTGTCATTTGTCTTTAGCTTCCCTCTGTTTCTTCTTTTCCTTTTCTTTACTTGCCACTGTAGTGATTTGTTTCCATCTCTTGTTCAATATGGATGTGCTTGTGGTTTTAAGGACTCCGCATAGGTTAGTCAGGAACCATTCAATAGATTTGTATGTCCCATTGCATGTTTGAAAATTCTTTCTTTAATACTTAGGTAACTTCACGCCCCAGAATTTTACAGGGCTCATCTTTACTGGTTGGCCGTACATCTGTCCTTCAGTACCATTAGGAGATAAATCAGGAGATGGGTTTATAGTTAGAGGTGTCTTTTCTAGTGGTGTAGGCAGATCACGAATCAACCTAGCTTTCACTTTCAAGTGATTAGAGAACGGAAAATTTCTAGAGATAGGGGAACTGGATTTCCATAGGTCCATCAATTGATTGACAAGTTTATAGCTAGGCATTTTAGCAGGCGAGACATATTACAGACAGCACTATGAACAATGTGAAGAAGAAGGTGGAATATGGCATCATGTGCCCATATTACACAAAATGCAAACAAGTAATAATTTTGTGGCTGTGATATTAGGCATTTGGCAATTTGCAGCCACTACTACTGTTGAAGATAACAAAGCTGGGGATTTAAATGGAAACAAATGACGATGGTGGCTTTATGGGCCCTTTATAGTGGATTAGAGATATAGAGATAGTATGTCTTGTACTCTCATGTGACGTGGACACCACCCACCATTTTTCGTGGTCGCCCCACTACTGTGTATAGTATAGATGCCTCTCTTTTACTCTTTGTATGTGTGTTTATACTTTAGATATGCAAGTAAACTTACAAATACACGTGTGCATGTTGGTGCAGCATAATGAATCCATGTATTCTAATTTCCATAATCTACAGGTTGAGCAATTTACCTATACAATTACAGAATATCTGAGGGAGAATATCTGGCTGCTCCTGTACATTGTTTGCTCTAGGTCTCCCATCAAGTTCGTATTTTTTTCTTACCATTTTACCTTCTGGTTGTTGTGACAGGAAGCCGGATTGTCAATCGGCTACGAACAAGTGTCGCTGAATCCAACATTCCACGATAAGGATCCGGGTATGTGGGCTATGTGCTTTGATAACATTTAGTATTCTTTCATTTCAGTAATTAATTATTCTATCATCAGGTGATAATATTAATATATATGAATATGATATTTGCTTGAAAGGATGGCTTTCCTCACATAATGGACTAAACCGTCCCTTTCTATCTGTGGGGGAGGGAGGAAAATTGAAGAAATAGTTTTCTTGGTTGAGGAGAGCTAGGTTGTAGCCATCTATCTTGAAATTTACTATAACAAGATGTGAACAAAACGGTTACTGTTGTTGATGATGCCTGAGGACAGCTAGGTTTTATTTTATTTTTATAAAAGCAATGGGAATTGTGAGTGGCAGTAGTATAGCCTTTTTGTTATATTCTTGTATGGGATCATGGAATTCGAAAGTGGAAAACATTTTCTAATCTTTATACATATCTTCACCCCTCTTGGATGCACTGGTGGTTGGTCAAAAGCTGTGGGGTAAGGGGTTAGGGATTTAGCCTCATTGTGACGAGAAATTAGAATGATTAGAAAACATGATGTTAGTGGTTAAACTCTTTTGGCTTGATTTAGGTGTCCCAATTTAGATGGCTTAGGCGGCCTTATAGTTATGGTTTGATATGGCTACAGAAGTAACAATTTATTATTGCGATAGTGAATTGGTTTGCTGGACCAGTTAAAGAGATAGACGCTGAAAGTGGGTTTCCCACTGTCCAAATTCCTGTGATGTTACAACGATTTTGCTCTTAGTTGAATTTTGTTGCCTTTCTCTGCCTGCCCCTTAGTGAACCAGAAAAGTTGAGAAGCTCTCTGTCTCTTCCACCCATCATTGCCAGATCTCCTCCCCTCCTGATCACTAGTTTTTGTGAACTGATAAGTAGTTCTCCATTCCCTTTTGCTTCTCCACCTCTCACTGAAAAGTGGTTCCAACTGTATGGAGCAACTTGATAAGTCACAAGAGTGGTGACAGAAATGGCACAGTATCCACCTCTTAAATCCACCAGGCCAAAGGGTTTAATCCCCCACCTCTTTGAAAACTATGTGTGGAAGGGCTAGAAGTAATTCTGAAGATAAGGGGTTTGTGCGCTACTCCATTAATGTCTTTGCTCCCCGTTCTTTTTACTGATCAGGGAAGCACAAACGTACTTCTGATAGCGTAAGCCAAAGGAGGGCAGTGAACATTCCTGAAGATATGGGTCTTACATCAGCTTCTGCTGATGCACATTGAATGGTTTTGATCCAATATATATTTTGAAATGAATGAAAGCACTCTGGGCCGCAACTAGTGCCTAGATAGCTACTTGCAGCCATTGTTGTTAAGTTCTGCCCTTCAGAACGTCGAAAGGACGCCTGCATCAATGGAAACAATGAAAGAAACCAATTTTGGTTCACTGCTTTCTTTCCCCCTATCTGACATATTTTCCACATGCTTGAAAGACTTGACAATGGGGAATGTTTTTCTTTTCTTGGCTTCTGTTCCTCCTTGGGGACGGAAGAGGAAGATGATATGGTTTGTGGTGATTAGGATTAGTCATTAGAGTCAGCAGAAATCTTCAAATCATTTGTAAATTAAAGGATATTTGGCTTGTTTTCGTTTCTGCAGATGGAGACTGGAGGAGGGACTCTTTCCTTTATAAAAAAGAACAGATGGAGTAAATTATTGCTTGGAAAGGTTGATGAACTCAGTAGACAGTGAGGTATTTAATATTTATTTGTGGTTGCTGAAACTGTTAGAGTAGTCAAAGAGTAAAGGAAATACCACATTGGTGGGAGAAGGAAAGTGCAAGTTGTTTTTAGCTTTGCTTTCCACTTTAGTTATTGGATAAAGTGGTTAGTGGGCTTTTGGAAAAAGTGTGGGCTATTTAGTTTGACATATTAAATCGCACTACGCACTTAGCACGTTTGCGCGACGCGTTCGGATTTGAATTTTTGGCTAATTAATTACCGGAATTATTTTAATTAATTAATCCGGATAATTATTTGATTTTGACTTTTGTGAAACGACACAACCCTTCGGAAGGGAACTGTCGTTTTCACTATAAAAAGTCTTCTGCAGCCGATGTTCTTACCAACGTTCATCTTCTTCTCCTTGTTTTCCTTCTCCAAAAACACAAACACAGAAGTCAGAAAGGTTGTTGCTTTCAGACTTTGGTTGAAGGGACTCCTGAGGGTGGTTTGCCTAATTCCTACCAGCAACGAAGTAGTGGGGGCAAATAACACATTAAGGAGAGTGATTAATCACGCCTTCAATCTTATTCTCTCCATACCGTTTCCCTGACAATCTTAGAGTGTTATTTGCGTGTGACAATGGATTATGGAGTGGAGAGCACTTTGAAGGCGTATGCCCCTGATTCCAACAAACTCAATCGGTGATGGAACCAATTTCACCCGCTGGCAAGAGAAGATAAAGTTTCTGTTGACTGCTTTGAAGATCGTGTAAATACTGGATCCTGATTTGGTGCCGCTAGAA